GATCTACCAAAGAGAGTTCAGAATTTTTTGAAATTTCCTCCCAACCCAGCCTCATCAGAGCCTAGCTTCTTAACTAGTCCCTACTAGCAAGGCTGTTTGCAGAGAGGAAATTGGGGGAGGGGGATGAATGAGAGAGAGAGAGAGAAAAGAGAGAGAGAGAGAGAGAGAATTTGAGGAAATGGAGAAGGTGTGAAATAGTCATGCAGGGGAAAGGTGAGGGAGCTTCAGTTTCAGAAGCAGAGGGTAACTTTACAAGGATGGGAGGAGACACAAGTGTGGTGGCCCCCATCCACTGAATAGCATGTTTTCCTGCAACCATCTTGGCAGTTTGGGTATAGGAGTAAAGATGACAGATGGTTGGGATAGCTGGCTGATCCAAAGTTGGGCACCTAACAGGTGGATGTGGCAGAAGGACAGAGGGTGAGGACACTGGGGTGCTGGCAAGAGATCGGTTGACGTCATAAACCCTGAAGTGTGGGCTGAATCGGCAAAGTGAAGCCCAGAGGGAGAAAGGGGAGTGACTAGAGCTGTGAAGGGGTTTATTGATATGATTTCTGCTCATTGAATCCAGTGATCTAGGAATAGCCCGATTAGAGGGCTATGAGATGGTTTGTACAAAAATTGGTTGGGGACAAGATGAGAGGAACTGTTCTCAGAACAACCAAAGAGACCTTTTTTTTTTTTTTTTGAGTTGGAGCCTCACTCTGTCGCCCAGACTGGAGTGCAGTGGCCACTCCCAGCCACCGCAGCCTCGACCTGCTGGGCTCCGGCGATCCTTCCGCCTCAGCCTTCCAAGTAGCTGGAACTATAGGTGTGTGCTACCATGCCTGGCTAATTTTTGATTTACTGTAGAGATGAGGGCTCGCAAAAGTTGCCTGGATGGGTCTCAAACCCGCAGCTCAGGCAATTCACTCCCTCGGCCTCCCAAAGTGCTGGGATTACAGGCTGAGCTACGGAGCCCAGCCCCAAATAAATCTTATTTCTCCAAAGACCAGAGTTTGAGGGAGAGAAGACCCAGCTGGCCTAGGTAGAAGAAGGAAATTGTTTAAGGCATATTTTGCAATGTATCATCTATGACTAAGAGTAGCATTCAAGTAAATTTGATTTCATAAAAACGAAGGGAGCTTAGAGATCATTTCACCTGGGCAGTCACTTGTAAGGTCAGGAGGTGAAGGCCAACAGCTCCCACTCCCCACTCCCTGCCCCCAGCCCACATGGGGTTCAAACCCAGGTGTTCTAGATTCCATGTTGGTGGCTCTTGAACCGCTTACAATGTTCTGAAGCTGGCAACATGTCTGACTGGTTTGTTTTGTACACTAGTCTGTGTTCTCCACCTTAAGCAAAGGGTGGAAGCGGAATCTTACACATCAGTGCATTCTCCATAGTTCCTAAGTCAGTTACTGTTCAACGCATTCTTCTTGATTGATGAGTTAGTGAGAAAAGCCCATATCTTAGGGAAAAAAGTGTTGGCAGGGAGTCAGAATCTTCAGGTAGATTGTTGTTTCTGTGTTCTTAGTGGATCTTTCTTTCTTTTGACCCTTATTAAGAAGTATCACTCTGGACGTGTGGTTTGTGCTTTGTCACCAGAGTTTTGGCAATAAACTCATTAAAACAATGCCTCTCTGTGGCCTTATTTCACAAGAAAACTTGTTTTTCTTTCTTTCTCTTTTTTCTGAGTCAGAGTTTCACTCTGTCGTCCAGGTTGGAGAGCAGTGGCATGCGGCATGCTCAGTCACTGCAGCCTCGACCTACTGGGCCCAGGTGATCCTTCCGTCTCAGCCTTCCAAGTAGCTGGAAACCACAGGCACACGGCATCCTGCACAGCTAATTTTTTGATTTATTGTAGAGATGAGGTCTTGCCAAGTTGCCCAGGCGGGTCTCAAACCTGCGGGCTCAGGCAATCCACTCACCTTGGCCTCTCAAAGTGCTGGGATTATAGGCTTGAGCCACCACGGCTGGCTGGAAGTTTGTTTTTCATAAACCACATGATTCAGCTTCACAGGGCCAAGGTGGAACTCAATGGGGAAAACTAACTCTGACCTTTTAAGGTGATAAGGCAACAGCAAGGTGAAGAAAAGGGGAAAAGGTGTTGGACTTTGGCAAGCATGAACAGAGATGAGCTTATCCTCCCTAGGAATAGACACTAAGAAATGGATAGAAATTGTTGGGTGTGGGGGGTGTCCCTGTAGTCCCAGCTACTGGGTAGCTGAGATGGGAGGATAGCTTGAGTCCAGGAGTTTGAGGACTGCCTGGGCAACATAATGAGAACCTGTCTCTCTTAAAAAAAAAAAAAAAAAAAAAAAGGACAGAAATGTCACTGATAGAATTTATTTCAACTAAACCTAGCCAAGCCATATAGTTTGTCTTTGTAATTTAATTTTTTTTAGTTGGAGTCTCACTCTGTCACCCAGGCAGGAGTGCGGAGGCATACTTATGGCCACTGCAGCTTTGACCTGCTGGGCTCAAGCGATCCTTCTGCCTGAGCCTTCCAAGTAGCTAGAACTACGGGTGTGCTAATTTTTTGATTGACTGTAGAGACGAGGTCTCACCCAGTTGCCCAGGCTGGTCTCGAACCCCTGGGCTCAGGCAATCCTCTCGTCTCAGCCTCCCAGTGCTGGGTTTACAGGCTTGAGTCACCAGCCCAGCCTTGTCTTTGTAATTTAAAGGACAGAGTAGGCTTTGTGGCTTCAAAGGTATCTTGTGCAGAAGGTGCCAAGTCTCTGTGCTCTGAAAACATATTCTAGAAAATTAAACCAGAATTAGTCTGAGAACAGCCTGGAACTCCAGATGTTAGCAGTTCAATTTCTGCAAAGCAGAGCACTTTGTGTGGCATTTTTGCCGATAACTGATCAAACTTGTTTTTTTTTTACATTGTTAAGTTCCTTTATTAGTTGCATTTGAAAATTTAAATCACATATGAATACATTTTTTAATTAATTCAACCATATACAATAACATTTGACTCACAAGGAAATGAGCCTATTAACACTCCAACTCTTCTCATCTCTTCTTCCCTTACTTTTTTTTTTTTTTTGAGTTGGAGTCTCACTCTGTCGCCCAGACTGGAGTGCAGTGGCTGCTCCCGGCCACCACAGCCTCGACCTGCTGGGCTCTGGCAATCCTTCCTCCTCAGCCTTCCGAGTAGCCGGAATTACAGGCGTGCGCTACCACGCCCGGCTGGTTTTTTTGATTTATTGTAGAGATGAGGTCTTGCTGCCCAGGCGGGTCTCGAACCCGCAGGCTCAGGCAATCCACTCACCTCAGCCTCCCAAAGGCACGGGATTACTGGCTGACCCACCGA